CTCTGGCTCACTCGGTGCACCTCAAAGAAGATTACAACAGCATCAAGACCTTTCTAGACGCCTTGAAGTATGATGAGTACGGCTGGGAGGTCATCGGAGACTTCAAAATGGTGACATTCCTGATGGGTCTCCAAGGCAGTTTTACCAACTTTCCCTGCTACCTTTGCCTTTGGGACAGCAGGGACACCAAGGCGCACTACCAGAGGCGGGACTGGCCACAGCGGACTGAGTTCTCTGTGGGGAGGAACAACGTCAAGTGGGAGCCACTGGTGGACCCCGGGAAGGTGCTGATGTAGATAAGAAGTCGGCAGCCTTCAAGTACCTTCAAGATTTCTTCCCTAAGCTGTCTAAGGCAAAGGTCAAAGCTGGTGTCTTCATCGGACAACAGATAAAGAAGATCCTGGAGTGCAATGAATTTCCCAAGAAGCTCACTAGTAAGGAGAAAGTGGCTTGGAACAGCTTTGTTGCAGTGGTTCGTGACTTCCTGGGCAATCACAAGGTCGACAACTATGTGGAGCTGGTTGAGACTCTGGTGAAGAACTACGGCACAATGGGCTGCAGGAAGTCCCTCAAAGTCCATATCCTTGATGCTCATCTTGATAAATTAAAGGAGAACATGGGAGCGTACTCGAAGCGAGAAAGGCGAGTGCTTCCACCAGGATATACTAGGACTTTGAATGTTGCTACCAAGGACAGTATAATGAGAACATGATGGGAGACTACATTTGGGGGCTGATTCGTGAAAGTGATTTACAGCATAATCGTAAATCTAAAAAACTACTCACTTCTAAATCTTTTGTAGTCCTTTTTGTATTACTTTAGTATTAATATATGTTAATTTTAATTAATATGTTGTTTTTTCTGACTTTATGTGAACGAAAATACACAAATTTGCCTGTTTTCTCATTGAAAATAAGCACATTTCAAAATATTACTGTCCTGGTCATAAAAGCAAAGTTTGTGGGGAATAATAGCCATTTTCTATACATTTTAGGCATAAGCAATTACGAAATAACACTTACGACCTAGGAACAAAAATTGTGTTACATAGTGTTATTATTTTAATTAATTTGGATGAACATTTTCACTTTGAATGCCTTGCAGTAGACATTTTTTTCGGGGGTTATATAAGAATGCGTCACCAACTTTTAAATGAGAGGTTGCCGAAATAACTTGAGAAGCATTTTCTCGGCCATCATCTTCTCCAGCCATTCTCTCACACGAGATAGTGTGACACTAACTGCTCTCTGCCTGAGTTCTGAATTGACATTTCTTTGTATCGTGACGTAACAACATTTCATCGTTCATTCATTTACTTTATTTATGACCAGGTAAGAGGCCATTCAGTCTCGATATTCAAGGAAGACATGGGTCAAGTAAATCAATATTGTAAGCATGTGATAAAAGGTCACATGCACCAACAGTGCGAATGGGATATAAAAGGAAGAAAAATCCCCGGAATGATTTTTTAACTGCATTGTGTTCCCAAAGTTTTGTGCCCATAAACACAAAAGGAATTTGAGAAAGGGAATTGACAACCACTCTATTCGACTGTCTTTGTTCCCATATATCAACTCGTTCATAGTTTAAAGCAGTAGCACACGATTTCATATTGGTGATCAAAATTGGAACATGACCCAATGTTGTTATCGGTTTATGTCCTGATTGGCATATCAGATTGCTTTATTTTTTACTTGATCACATATAATCTACCAAGACATCATTATTTTATTCATAAATTGATTAAAAAAATAGTTTATCTCTTACTTCCGAGTTGTAGTTCGTGGACATTAAAACCAATGGCACCTTTAGGTTTAATTTTATTTACAAAATCGTGATTTAAATATTTACACTTGACACCATGGTAAAACAATGATCACAATTTACATTTGTATGGCGCACTTCATCCAATTATCTCAAAATGGAGTCTGCCGCGTGACAGTGCCACACAGCGGTGGTGCGGAGGAAGCGATGAGTGACAGGTGAGTGACGGATGAGTGACGGATGAGTGACGGATGAGTGACGGATGAGTGACGGATGAGTGACGGATGAGTGACAGATGAGTGACGGATGAGTGACGGATGAGTGACGGATGAGTGACAGATGCGTAAAGCAGAGAGCCACTGCGTGCACTCGCTAAGACATGGCCACATACGGAAAAAAAATGTTGCCGCCAATAATAGGTATTAGTTTAATAAAATGAACAAAAAAATACCTTCACATAAGCTGAATGTTGCCCGGGTCAGACTGAACCATGCCTTTTCAGCTCTGACGATTCAATGTAAATGCTCAAGGCTACAACGGTCAAACTAACGCGACGTATCACACCTCCTAAAAGTAGATAGTTTAATAAAACAATAAAAGTTTTTTTTCTTTCATTATCCGGTACACTTTAAAAATTATGAAAGTAAAAATTACAAAAACTTTATTAAATAGCATACACGATACTAAATTAATGCCGTTCATAATCCTAACCATAGCCACTTCCATAAGAATGTAGAATTTCGTGCTGTCATTAGACTTGAGCACTGATCTATTCCAGTTTGAGTGGGGAAATAATTTGACCTGTCTGTAACATTAAGACTGATATATCGAGTCAAGAAAATATCTTTCAAATGACAATATCCTGGGTTGTGTATAAAAAATTGTTTTAAAGGTCAGTGCAATGTGGGGAGGTCTTAGAATATAGTTTTCAACTAATACAAACTACAAAAGAGGAGAAAGAACAAGCCGTGCCACATTTCTGGATTTAAGTTTGCTTAAATATTCCGTTCCGAGAGAACGGCAATATCGCTGTGTTCCAAACTAAATCCCAAAAATATTGTACTTTTGGCCAATATCTGCCATAGAGTACGAATAAGCCACTGTGGTCATAATGGATATCATTGCATGGCTGTGATGGAAACCTGCTTTTATGCCCGAGATGGCACATTGAGGCCCTTTGCAGAATATTAAAGCGTTTTATCTTCGGCTCTCTTACAGGCCACCAAAGGCAGTGGGGGGGGGGGGATAAAACATTTTTACCATAATAACCCTGTCATTTCACCGAAACCTTCATCAGAATCGGCAAACGGCTCGCATTGCACGAGCCATCGCGCGGAGCGAAAGCGAAACCCGTACACAAAGAACAGAGCCCACGCTCAGCAACGGCACTTGAGTAGCTGTGTCCTTGTGTGCATTGGACGTGGTATCCTCTCACTTTACTTTAGGTGACTTTGATTTTCTACATGGATAATCCGGTTTCGCCAGTTGTCTGGCCTTTTTTTTTTTACAAAATGGAGATCCGAGTAAAACAGCAACAACAAAAAAGTAAAGACAAAAGCATCAATATTACAGAGAACGAGTGCAAGGGTTCCTTCAAGAATATCGCGCCACTAACAGACGACGTATTTAATGCTCGTAAACGAAACACACAGGAATAAAAAAACAGAACAATATCGTTTGAGAGCAAGGGGTGCTCGAAAAAGCTTAGGTGCAGGTGCAAGTAAGCCCTGTGTTTTGGACTAATAGGGAAACAAAGAGGGGAAGTCAAGGGAGGAAACACAATATTGTACTCAAATTGGTATTTGCTGGAACAAAAAAGTATGCTCCTACGAGAGTCGTCAGACTCAGTGAGGCGTCCTTGGGTAAAATAAAACACATTATTATTATTAAGGTCATTCTGCACAGTCAACATCCCTCACTATCCTTGATGCCACATTTCATAGCACTCCTGTGCATGAACTTATTCGACTGCTGCCTGTCTGGAGTGGTCAATATCTACTTTAAGAAAAGGTTTTTTAACATTTTCTGGCAATAAAACAGGAGGTGTTAAGATGTTCAAATAACCAAATAGGTCCCCCTTATTCAAGGCATCAAGTCTGCATTAAACACATTCCTGCGGAGGGAGCTGGTAGGAACGTTGGGTTGCTCGGTCAATGGCCAGGGTCAACGGCGGCGTGGTCTATTCCGCAAATATGCCCGACTGTGAGGGCGGGCACAAGCCGGCGTGAGTAGGTTAAACGTTGAGTTTTACAAGGGCACCCACGGGGTGACCAGCCCCTCCCCACCCAGCCCCACCCTCCCCACCCAGCCCCTCCCCACCCTCCCCACCCAGCCCCTCCCCACCCTCCCTTCCCCACCCAGCCCCACCCTCTAAACCCAGCCCCACCCCTCCCATGCACGACGGACACAATAATCCCTTGTGGGCTGGTGTAACCAGGAGGTTCCAACCAGAACCACTACTTTGTCTGCCATTCTGTCATCCATCGGTCTTCGTCCCTTCTGTTGATGTGTCCGACCGAAGCCCACTTGGTGATGACTCTGAGCTGTATTCAGATCCCACGTGTTCCCATCTGTTGGCCAACTCGGTGTCATTTAAGGTGTGCACCGCTCCGATTTCGTTGAAATGTCCTCGGTCAAAGTCGACGTTCAACATACCACGTGTGAAAGCTGGTGGTATATGACATGATTGAAAACTTTCCTCTTCAGCCAAATCACAGATTTCCAAAGGCATCGATTGCAATCCCGCTCTTGTTCACCTCTGCATTACAATAAGTACTGTACTGTGTGCATATTGTATGAGACGTGGTCAGTGTCCTCTGTTAAATGATGTCATTGCTCAACATAGTCAAATATACTTTGGTGGCTTTTGCCAGAATGTCCTTGTTTTGCAGCTTAAAAAAATTTGGTCATTAAAATGTTGTAAACGAAACGTTCGACAAAGTACATCTTGGGATTAGATCGCGGTGGCATTTTGCATTCATACATTCACACAGACACACGTGCAACACACACGACATACATTAACCGAAGAAACAGAACATTAACAGAAACATACTGACTTAACCGTTTCATATGGCATTTTTCACAATAAGTCGTGCATTAAAATTCATACGTATAACATCTCATGGGGAAAAAAAACAATCCGTCGCATTAGAGGCCTGCCGCTAATGATATCGGCTCGCATGACCTTAGCGATGAAGACACGCGTGTTAAAAAGCTCCCATTCCCGGACCTACCGGCATCACGCGCGGAGACTCGCTCCGGCACCACGGAAGCATCCCCTGGGAGAAACATTCCCGTGGACGCGGCTTGCAGAGACGGACGCAACCACACGTAGCGGTCTCGCTCAATATCGCTCCTCAGCTGAGCGCTGATCTGGAAGGATGGGAGGACGGGTTCTGTCGGAGACGAGGAGTGACCGGCCTGCTCTTGGCTGGCCACTGTGCCGTCCCTTTGACGATAACTTAATGTCACAGCTGAAGGTTTAACGGCTCGGGTGGCTGCCCAACCGGGTGACGATGGCGGGTCCGCTGCACCTGACACAGCGCCGGTTGAAGGAAACTGTAACGACGCTCGCCGATCGGTCATTGGTTTCTCTGAGCTGGCGACCGCTGGCAAGGTCTTTGGTTCTTCCGTGAACGAAAGCGGACGCGTTTTGTGCATCCCTGAATTGACACCAGGCCACGAATGCGATCCTGGAAATTCCTCATCAAAAATGGCGGTTGTTGTACGCATGTTGTCAAGGTGCTCTGTGGTCTTGGAGGGTGTCTGATCATAAGCCACTTCTGTAGATATTACACTCGGCGTTGTCGAATCTAATGCGTTATATTGAAAGGGGAACAGCTCCGATGGTGATGTCATCAACATATCGGTTGATCCCGAATTTGTCTGTTTCAATGCTCTAGCCATTGACATGGAAGGCTGCAGGGTAAATAATACATTGAGAAAAGATTTCTCAATTGGTCCAGAAGATTGCTCCATGATTGGGAGCACACTCTGTGGATCAATATGCGATGCAAAATGCGGTTTTATGTCAGGCATTAAACTTGAAGGCTCTGACACACAAGTGATATTATTAAGGCCGTCTTTACAAAGGTATCCTTCGGGGCATCTTTCAATAAGACAGTCATCATAGTTGAATTCACAGTTCAAACCCTGTGGGAGATAACAAATGGAATACATGTATTGGAAATGTTTCCAATCGATTAAATGGTTACATTTACAATACCAGAACGCAGGAAACACTGATACAACATAGCAACTTGAAACAGCACATGTAAGCATATTGTTTCATATACAATAGGCCTGTCATGATTTATCCTTGAAGGAATTCGTGAATTTTCATGATAAAATTACGAATTTTATTTCACCTCGTTCTTCCCATCCTATTTTATTTTTGTTTCTAATCTACTCTATCCCCATATGGACAGTTTTGCTAACTCCATTTGTACAATCCAATGGGGCCTTCCAGGCAACGTATCCTCGTCGCATTTTTTTTTTACAAACAAAACCTCAACCCGTGTCAACTGCACAGCGAGTCGTCAGCAAAAGTGTCGCCTCGCAAATCGATGCCACCCACAGAGTTGATCTGAAAAAATTGCATTCCATTGAAACGCTAATATAAGTGTGCAAAGATTACATTAGGAGATCAAAAGCAGTTGCTATGCTGTAATGTTTATTTTACAAAAAATGTACCAGTGCTTACTGTTCGCTTTTCAAACTCAGTGGCGTTGGGGTGTAAGTGCATGATATCGATTTAAAGCTTTCGTGACTGCAGGGATTCATCTTCTTGGTTGTTTCGGTAAAGTCACGTAGAAGGGAAAAAAAACATAATAAAATACAATTCTCACGACGTTTCGGCCACAACGCAAGCAGCCGTCCTCAGGTGAAGAACAGGTCTGTCAGAAAGACAGCGTCTGCCAAGCTTGGTGGTGTTCATTCAGACGCTGTCTTTCCGACAGACCTGTTCTTCACCTGAGGACGGCTGCTTGCGTTGTGGCTGAAACGTCGTGAGAATTGTATTTTATTATGTTAAATTTTTATTATGTTATTATTTCCCTTCTACGTGACTTTACCGAAAGAACCAATAAGAAAGAAGCGCATGATAATTTCAGTGACAAATGTGGCTATCGGCTTTGTCCACGCCTTGACAGTTCAGTGCAAATGAAAGTTGGTTCGTGAGTTCAATTACGCAGGATGCAGTAGAGGAGGTGTAGGCTCACCAGATATCCGGGAGACAATAACATAGGTATCCCAGTTCAGAGTTGCCCTCCTGACACACGCCGTTAACACAGGGTTTGGTGAGACAATCATCTACATCCACCTCACAGCGATCACCAGAAAATCCTGGCAGGGGAGGTCGGTGGACAAACAAATCGAAAGTATGCCATAAAAATGTTAATGGTTACTTGAAAACATTTTGCGACTTGGTTATAGAAAATCGTATCCTCATATAGGATTTAATGTTTTTCTTTTATAACCCCTTATCTGCAGCAAATAGAAGCATATGTCGTGCTATAAACATACCACAATTCCCTTTATAGGAATAAATAGAATTCCCATAGCCATCGCCTAAAATGTAATAACACATTTTAAAGGAAATGAAATAAGGCCATGGCAATTTTAAATGATTCTCTCTTTTGCAAGCATGCGCAGCATAACACTGGGGGCATTGTACAACATTCACATATGACCGAGGAAATAACACAATTGAAGACGCAGCATTGAACTGGGTTTAAAACTATGGTTACATTTTACACTTAGACAGATACATTTTTACTATTCAATTTTTTTTAATTGACCAAATATATTTTATACTAACCACAGCACTTTTTCCAAAATACAGTGCGAAAAGCATTGTTATGGGTGTTGAGAAACTCAAGAGAAAATGAAACATGTACTTCAAGTTAAGATATCAATGATAATAGTAATGTGAATTTCTAAGGCGCATTTCATCTGTAGATCCCAATTCACCATCCATAGCATCATGGTCAACGACGTTATTGCCACAACATCTCCATCTGCAGCTGTTTCATTTGACCTCTAAGGTCTCCTCTCACTGTATCCCACTTTCTGGTTTTATATTTTCCCCTTGGTCACTAACTTCTGGGTGATTTTGATCAAATGTGGACATAGTGATGGACTTGTATTTAAGCAGTAAGGTTCATAACACAAGGGGGGGGGGGTATGTATTGTGTTTAGTTTTTGAAAGAAAAGCAAAACACTTTTTAAGGTAGTGGTTGTCAACATTTTGCGCGCTTTTTTGTTACTTGAGAAGAACATTTCCCCAATGTTATCTTGATTATGCTGTCGTTGTCACATCATGAATAGGACGAATCCCTCCAGATCTTTCGCAGAGCAATGCAACCCTTAGCGTAAGAGAACGGCCCATGGAAGCAGATATTACAGAGCTACCTCTGAGATCCCTTCAAGTGAAAATGTTGTTTTTAAAATTGAGTGTTTCACGCAGGAATAATATCAATGATACCGTACCGTCTAATCCCCTTGCTGATAACAACATGCTGCACACCATATATTCATTTTAGGCTATGCCAACCTAAAGGGAATGGCCAAGTCAGGCCAGATTTAGCTACAATTTCACATGCTCACATATCCATGCTGCTTAATGTTTTCTAACAGTGCTGTGGTACTGTTAGAAAACAAAATAATATTTTTTTAAAATTCAGAAGACCCAGGACTCGTACATTCTCATTAGAGCAATAGCGTATGTTCACCACTGCAAAACAGTGATCTCTATCAGAGGCAGGTTTAGCACTGTCTGTTATTTAGTGCTGCTCTTTCGACATGCCTCCTGGAATGTCCTTCTTGGATTTGTAGAGGCACCAATAAAAATGCTCCATTAATTCCACCCCCCACCCCACTTAAGCTGCATGTTAACATGCACAAGCTGGGCACTTTCCAATTCAGGCCCATGCCACCTATTTATTATGGGTGGTTAATTTGGCTGTGGCACTGGCATGGAGGAACCGACCCTTACGAGTGCCATGAGATGCTTTAGAGTCCATGAGCAAGCAGACCGTGTGCTTTTCGACATTGTGTGGTCATCAATGCATCGTAGCCAAGATAAACTGCGGTGAATAGCAGAGACATTTTCAGATGATGAATAACCGCGCCATTTATGTTGCATATAAGCTTCTACTTCTAGGTCGAAGTAGAAGCTTCTCTGAAATAAATGGGCCCTGACCATAGCAATGTGGAATTTCCATCTCTGGCTCAGGGCCATTAACATTGCGGGAAGACTTAGAATTGTTTTTCGTTAACAGTAAGCCACGGAGGATATGATTTTAATACTAAATAATACATCAGCAAATAGCATTTTAATTACAAGACTTGGCTCACAATTAAAATTATGGTCAGGAATTAACGCAGTCCATCATTGCTACAGAGTCAATCAAATAACTACTATGTGGGAAGTAAATAATTGCCACCTTGAGTCTCTATACTATTTTTTCAGGAGGATATTGCATTGAGATGTTTAGCCGGTTCTTCGGCAAACATAGTATCCGGAGAAAACATACACATACGAGAGGAGGACAACGCTAAAATATCTACGCAGATTTAAAACGTGTATTGCCATGATGGCATCACATGGCCACCTCGCAGCAATTGCTTACAACACCTGGTATTCCCAGGTTAGCATCCCATACAATTAACACTCATGCTCAACCTGCTTAGCTTCAGAAAGCCACGGCGATTGAGTGCATTCAGGGTGATTTTGTCGCAGGAAAATATATTGACTTTCAGTGACCCCCACCACACTGTGTGAATGTCCATGCTGTGCACATTTACTCACCAATGGCACACACGCATGTAAATCCATTCACTAGGTCACGACACGTGGCTCCGTTTTCACAAGGGCTGGACTCACACTCATTGGTCTCCAACTCACAATGAGTGCCCACGTATCCAGGCAAACATCTGAAACAAAAATAAGAACACAAGCCATTGAAAATCAATATCTATTTTGCAAGCAAAGCAAGGTCAAGATGTCTGGTACTGGCATAGGATTAGTTGGCATTTTACAGGTTATTTAATTATCCTACTCTTTGGTTCTTTCGGTAAAGTCACGTAGGTATAAAATTAAATAAATCACGACGTTTCGGGCGCAACACAAGCGTTCGTCATCAGGTGGGAAAGCATGGTCTGCTGCTGATGCAGACTGTTTTAAAAGGTTTGAAATGGGTGTAGCTCAAGGATCATAAAGAAGTGGCCGGGGCATGAGGACGACTGCTTGTGTTGCGCCCGAAACATCGTGATTTATTAAATTTTATTTATACCCACGTGACATTACCGAAAGAACCAAAGAGCATGGATTCCTGCAGTCACGAAAGCTTCAAATCAAGATTTAATTATCCTGTTTTGTAATTTGTTGTAGGAATTAATGAGTGGCTAAAGTGATCGAACCGTTTACAAAAGCCTCTTGAAGCCAGACTCGAGTAAACTGCAATTCAGGTTAAGCCACAAGACTACTTTTGGAAACAAAAATACGTTATTATATATAATAAATAAGTACATAAGCAAAGAGACTTAATCAATGTTCGCACTTGAACACCATGCGCGGCAGGGGATGGCTTGCATGTGTGCATTAGCAATTTTATGTCTCGTGCGAAACTCGACAAATACATTCACGTACTCTCAAAAATTGATAAATTATTCAAGTACGTCGGAAAAATCTGTTCAGTCTTCTACATCCAGTGAATCGCAGCCTTCATGGTGATGGTGGCTCAGCTTAAACGGTACATCAGCGATGTAAGTGTTATCACGTTGTAAATATTACAATGTTAATATTTAGTTCGTAAGTAATGCATGTTAAATAAATGTCTTGGCCATTAATTGCACGCAATATAATTCAATGCTAGTATTTCACTTTCGTTAATTATTTGCAGTGTGCCAGACATGCCCATGAACTGCAAGGGCTCTAATTCTAGATGCAGCTAATCTGGCTGTGACTGTCCCACCTGATGATGGAGACTTGTGTTGCCTCCGAAACGTCGTGATCTTTATTTTATTTTATTATTTTTATTAATTTTGATGTTTTACCTACGTGACTTTACCGAAAACACCTAAGAATATGCAAGGGCTCTCTCCCCGATTTCTTCGTCTTCAACGAGTTATTCTGCACTTCTCTGAAACATGTTGAAATGCTTAGGCACACACATATAATTAATTATAATGAATAGTGGATACTAATGGGTTATATTCTTGCGTATGGGAAATATGTTCCGGAGCTAAATGCCAATGGATATCTCGATTCTAATTAACGACGTCCATGTCGTACAGATAATAATGCTTTCATAGTATATAGCGTCATGTATGATAATAGCATCCCACAACGTTGTACATAAATTATATATAAGGACCAAATCCCATATACAGCCAATACCAAGCAAAATAAAAAAAATGATGGCAGTATTATTAATCGTGTTTAACTTGACACGGAAATACATTTAGAATATTTTTTTAAATCAGAATATGTATTCATAGTGGAGGAATCCGATGAACTATAACGCTCTTTTTTCACAGATGTCCAGTCGGGACGGGTAAGAACGATTACAGCGACTGACAATACAAAAACACGATAGGAGCGCAAAGTACAAGAAAGGTAAACAGGTGGAGCCAACGGCGAGAAGGCCTAAAGCTCTCCTGCCCGAGAATGAATGAACAATTATTGTTCTAGTTAACATTCATTAACATGATTAGTATTTGAGTTTACTCATTACTTTGGCAGTTACTCCAAGCATAGTTAATTCAAATTAGATTATAATTTACTGGAGCTGTGACATGTTCTCGTAACTAACGCGTTTCTGTACAAGTGTTTTTATTTTTATGGATGATATCTGTGAGTTTCACACCTCCTATTAGCACGGTTGGCTATGCACTGGTGCAAAAGAAGTTCCACACACTTACGTTCAGCGGAGTGACAATGCATTGGTTAGTGTGCCACTCGGTGAATACCTGAGTTTGATTCCTGGCCATGGCTAACATCAGGGGCAAGTAACCAATCATGCGGTCCCACCGTTTCACCAATCCACACTGACCAGCATGGGGAAGTATGACCACATAACCCCCATGACCGACACACTGCGAGGAGGCCTTTGTTCAGCAAGGTTGTGAAATGTTATTTCGATGTATGATTGTTTCTTTTATCATGAATATGTACGATATAAATGTGCTTATTTGGATGTTTTTTTAATTTGTGTTCACTGTTTTATTTGACCACTAATAGTTAATTTTTTTTACTAAATGTGTAACGTTTATCTTTTGAAATGCATTTCCTTTCATATTCCCTGGGTGTCCCTCCCTCGTAGAAGGGAATGGTCTCGATGGGTACTCACCTTGCTATAAATAAAGCATAATTTGCATTATCATATATGCTACATATTAAAAATGCAGTTCCTTCAATATGTTCCAGAGCACCATTTGGTTTTATGAGCCTGAAGCAATACTCCCTGAACATTTATCATTCAAATAATTGAAAGCAAACAGAATTTATCAACTGTAGACAATCTAGCCCGGTACTAACAAAAGAAAATATAATTTTAATTCAAAGCATTTTCTACAAAACACACTCTAACATTTTGGTGTTTCCTTAGATGCACACAAAGCTTTTGACGATGCTGAAATGAAATATGCCAGCCACATCTCTGGGAAGGATTCTAATCTGGAAGTGCATTTTATTGCTAACCTCCTGTTTCTGAAAGCACTTACCAAAAGGTATTATCGGTCCTGCAGAATCGCAGTACAGATAATATTACTTGTTATATTCCATTATTTATATACTTCTTAGCTTTGAAATTTTCCATATTTTGAGCATAATCATCATCATTGTGTGATGAAATATGGAGCCAATCCAGCACGATGTCTTATATTTCTTGCAGCGATTTGCTGATATATAAACCAAATGCATATACAATCAATACCGAATTAAGTAAATCAATAAATAAATAGTCCTGCAGTTGAACATATACACGCATATGCTTATAAATATACTGACTTTATCATAAATAACTTAAGTGTATAGCATCACGCGGCAAAATACCAACTAGGCAAAGAAAATTTGCAGTTTGGTTGACAAATGCTTAATTTTTTCTTCTGCATTCAACTAAATCATTGTTTAAATCCCACGATTGTTATAGTGACTGCCACGGAATATTGGAAACCCTGCTGAGCATGCCCGGAGCATTCTCTCTCTCGAGTGCAGGCATCTCAAGACCACCCCCCCACCGTGCCCCATCAAAAAATTAAATTACTCGACTTCCACCACACATTCTGTTCATTAAACAAGCCTAAATTAAAATGGTGCGATAACATCATGGCTAATTCAACAAGCCATTCATCTTGTGCGGTTAATCAATCAAGTTAATCGCAATGTTTCAAAAAATAATGTTCAGGGAATTGTGCATCATGTACGGAGCAGATTGCATTATTAATCCCTCAGCAGCTGATATCCCATGGCTCTTAGTGTGACATTTCTTCTGAACATTGGCAGGGGTCAGGGGAAGAAAAAAATCACGAGTGATACAGCATGTCTGTGCTATAACAAGGCCTCCAGAATCTTAAGGATCTCAGAAAAATAAAGCCCAGGGCATACAAAAAAAATCATCTTATCAGCTTTTCATACTTATTCCAAGCAATTATTTTATTCATTCATAAGTTTAAACGTGTGCTTCATCAGCATAGCAATTTCGTAAATTTGTGTTAGGGGTGAAATGTGCCACAATGCGTAGTGTTAATTGCAGACATCTGAAAACTATACTGACAGATCACCAAGGGAAAAGATAAAACTGTCAATGTCAATCATTGTTTCAGCAAGCTACACAAATTAAAAATGTTAAAATAATTATTCAGAAACCTTTGATCATATATTTAAAGTAAAGGTGCAATCACTGCAATAGAAACATGAAAACATAACTAAATGTGTACTGTACGTAATAAATGTTTTATAAAAAATATGGAAGTGTGCAGATACTACTTTTGAGTTTTAAAGATAAATAGCATTTAAAGGAAAGTGTTACATTTGGCATGCATTATGTAATAATAATAAATAACAATTATTTGCTAGCGAGTGACTAATGTTCATCTTCTATTTATACTTAGAGCTCTAAAATAAATAACCCAGTGTTGATGGGATTTTTGTGGTCATTGACCTGGTGACATGTCTAAGATGTGAAGATTTCATCAAAAGTTTTAAAACAGCAAGTTTTCTCAAGTAATCAGAGATATAATTGCCAACACGGGAGTACACTATATGCATTTGAGTCATATTATGCTAATTGTACAAGCTTCTTTCCAACATAAAACATCTTATTAGTTTTATGGTGACTCACGAGCTAAAATTAACTGCACTTGTGATAGATTCATGTATAAAAAGTGAAACTTTATATATTTTATAGATATAAAATGCCTTTTTGTGTTTGATCAGCCTTTTGCAAATGAATGTTTCATATGCTATTAATGCAACTACCTGATACAGCTGTATATACAAAACTGTGATTATTCATATGACCACAGCGTTTAGAGCATTTGGCTGCTTTACATTTCCACATGATAAGCCACTTCGTTGAGCCGTCCTTTGTGGCCAGGACGCTTCTGAAAAAGAACTGTATAACACTTCTGAGATACTGGGTTCTGATTCTGGCAGCACACATTGAGTAAACAGGGGTCTCCAATATAATGAGTTGATTGGGGCAAACCGAGTCATCATCAAACTAAATTTGCTGTAAAAGTTCGGGGGGGGGAAAATACCTATTGGTTTGACGGAAAAATTAATCAGAAAGGATTTTGAAAAAAGTTGCAAATACAGTACAACTTTGGATTGCGAGCATAAGTCGTTCCGGAAACTTGTTTGTAATCCCAAAGCACTCGTATATCAGTTGTGATCACGTGACGCCCGGCAGACAAAGGGTATACACGTTATACTCGTATTGCAAGACCTCGCTCGTTTATCAAATTAATATTTATTTAAATGTTTTGCTCGTCTTGCCAAACACTCGCAGACCAAGTTACTCGCAATCCAACGTTTTACTCTAAGTCCTTCTGCGCGGCCATTCTCAAACAGACGGGGTGATGCACTGCTCCGTGTGAATTCCATATCCATCTTCCCCCTCATGACATGAGACTATAATCGGTAACAGGGCAACACAATGACTGGTCTCTCACTTGGTTTAATGGAAAGGTTTTGAAGAGAACTGAAGTAATGTCGGCGCCGTGGGCGCTCACGGTGGTGAGATGTTAACTACCTCGCCAGGTATACAGGAGATTGTTGCTTCGATTCCGACCCTGATGTCTGTATATTTAGAGTTTACATGTTCTCCTTGTGGCCGTGTGGATTTTTCTCCAGGCCCTCCAGTTTTTCCCTCCACATTTCGAATCAACGTGCGTTGAAAGTATTTGGCTGCTATAAATTTCCACGCGATAAGGCACTCCGTCAAGCTATCATTTGTGGCCAGTTCGCTTCTGAAAAAGAGCTATACAGCTCAGTGGGCCTTACCTGGTAAAAATAATAATACTTAGATTTCAATTACCTGCAGGTGTAGTTCATCGCTGGGCCCTCTTGGCAAATGTCCCCAAGCTCACAGTGTGCTGGAGAGTCGAGCTCCGAGCCCTCCGCGCACACGTCCACGTCCGTTTGGCACGCGGTCCCCGTGTAGCCCGGCGGAGCACAGGAGCACCTGAACGATGTGCTCGAGTCCAAGCAGCTGCCTCCATGTTGACACGGATTTAAGTCGCATTCCTTGGAAACCGGGACATTGCCAGTGAGAAGGAGCTCTCTGCCTGGCCGAGTTTAGATCATCACACAGGGTTGTGTTTGTGTTGTTGTTATTGTTGTTGTTGCTGCTGCTGCTGGGAGGGGTAACAGGTTTTCTGCTTTAAGTCCCATGCGAAGCTCCACGGTTTGGAACCCACGTACTATTATGCCAGTACACAGGCCTTGGAAAATCAGGAGAATCAAACAGCCTGCTCCTGATCTTGGAAGTGTTTAATAAAGGTCATCAGACAGATGGAAGCCATTTACCAACTATTCATTTACATTATTAAAGAGGCAAAAGAAGACGTATATGCCAATGTGTGTGTGTGTGTGTGCTTCTATACTGCAGATGTGATGGACAGTAAAATGATTTTCGAGACATACAAGAATGATTGTGTTTATCCACCCGCTGATGACTGGTTTGTGAATCTCCATACGTTTGTCAACATTGTCAATGCGTCTTCCTTTTCACTACTATTGGTGGATCTGAACTAGTGGTGGATATCCATCAATGGCTTTTTGGGTCAGAGCGTGTGAGTAAGATGTCACAAATTTACCAAGCGGTGTCTGATTGTTAAATCTTGTGGATTGCTCTCCAACACACCGATTATGTTCAAGCAGTAATACACTGGCACATTTGCTCACGTGACAGCTTTATTAATTGCCTGTATTGAGAGAATGAGATTTTAACGACACAAATTTTACTTACACTATCTGACCCAACAATCTATTACCAATCGCCATCACAATGCTGGTTGTGAAAGCTTACAAAGTGTTACATTTAGCGGAGAAAATGCCACATCACAATGGTGCAGGACCAGTATCTCATAATGAAAACAACCAATCACTTGCCACAAAGATAACCCTAATTTTATTCACAAAAGAGAGATAATGTGCAGAACTACTGATCGATCATACAATCACAAAGTAGGATAAAAGCAGGGAAAGGGTTTTACTACATTTTGAAAACGGTTTAAATCATTCTGCTCTACTCTATTCACTTTGGAATCGTCTATTCCAGGAACCTTTGATTTTTGTTACGGCAGAGAGCCATTATGGTTATAGATATTTTAATTATCGGTTAGAATTGAAAAAAAAAACCTACGGTAATTGTGTATTTAAATTAAAATGTAAGTTATTTGCAGGTTAACATTGCTAATGCGACATTCTACAGGGTAAAATAAGAACTCATAACACTGACAAACTGACAGAAGCTAATGCAGTTTAAAATGTGTATTTAGTATTTAATTGGGTTGTCATTAGAGTATAACATCAAACCCTATACGTCAGTTTGCAGCACTGTGAAACTGTATCATTTAAAGTCCAGTATAATTCAACGCTAGCACTTGTTTTTATATAACTTTGTTTCGCTCATATTTATTTTCAGACCCATTTTGGAGCTTTTTTTAATTAGGATCTTCATTACAGTTAATTTCAGTTAATTGCTTTAATGAGTCTCAGTAATACGAGGACGAAACAATTATTCACCATTCACAAGTATCCCTTGATGTCTCCAATCCAATTGTCAGAACTCTAACGTCACCGTGAATAACTTTGGTGCAAGTGCCCTCGGCTGCCTCCTCCTTCTCACGTGCTCTGTTGCTTCCTACTTCACACAATCTCAGTGTGTAGCTGTTCCATATTTGTAAATGTTTTAGAAACGTACATACTTGTTGATGTTTATGCCTTGGTCTGTGAGAGTTTAGATTCCCGCATAAAATCCAGCTGATATAAACGCATTTCAATTATGCACTGCAATGGTATTTGAATATCTAGTTGTCTTTTTCCAGAATATGACTGATATTATGTATGTGGTCAAAGGTAGAGAAACCTTTCCAAAACCACATTTGATTCGTGGGCCTATACACTTTTTCTGGTGACAGGTCTGTAATTCCCCAAGTCAGCTTTAGTACCCCTTGTGAACAGACAAATTATTGTGGAATCAATCCATGACTAAGGTATTCAATTTGTGTGTAAATGATAAACAGATTGCTCAACAAGCTAAACAATTCCCGCACCACGATAAGCACGGCTACCTGAGTATGGTGCAAAAGTAGATCGACTTACATTCACATTTTTCAGAGGTACATAACTGGAAAACGCATCTGAGTATGTATACCTAGGCGGTTATTGAAGGAGGACCAGTATCAAAATGAGTACAGAACTAGGGGGGCTGAAGGCCATATTCTTAGGTTTTTTCGGTAAAGTCACGTAGGTATAAAATTAAAATTAATAAAAGTAAAATAAAATAAAAATCACGACGTTTCGGAGCTGTCGGGCTGTGACGGTTCCACCTGAAGACGGAAGCTTGTGTTGCCTCCGAAACGTCGTGATTTTTATTTTATTTTACTTTTATTAATTTTATTTTTTTACGTACGTGACTTTACCGAAAAAACCTAAGAATATGAATCCTTGCAGTCACGAAAGCTTCAAATCTAGGGCTAAAGGCCAGTTTAAAGAGGTGTTTTCAAGAAAGGACTAATGATTTTGATTGTCTCATTAGAAAAGGCGAAGCCTTCCAAATCGCAATATTTATCTATACTGGAGAAATCCGATGAGCTATGAAGCTCTTTTTCACAGATGTCCAGTAGATGTCCAAAGTTTGAGAGCTGCGCGGTGGCAAAGCCCCGATCACCCCTGCGGGAGATGAACCTTGACCTCGGAGTGCTCAGAAGAAGACGGTCCGAAATTCTCAGGGCTCTCGTTGGAGTGGACAGATGGGTCAGTTCCTATCAACATTGCGGGGCTGACCAATTGAGTGCCGTGTAGGTCAGCAGCAGGACAGATGTGCAGCCAATTAGGGCAAGACATGCGAGAGGACATCTGGCACTGGAGATGGAGGGATGGAAATAAGTATAATCAGTAAAAACAAAGTTTTTCACTATAAATCCTTTATATGCGTGGCGGCTAGAGTCCTCTCGTCCTCTGGCTTGAGATGGCTGCCACCTATGGGTCAGATGATTGCATGGCAGCATTAAGCAATTGGTAATTAAATAAAATAATTTTGTCCTAAAAAGTGTAAAATTTTGGAAAAAAAATTTCACGAACATTAATTGTCACGCACAACGAGTCTGTGTGGAAAATGTCAGCTCGATTGGATCACGGGAAGTGGGTTAAAAAACGACCGAAAGGTTTGCACGGTCGTAAGCGCGCAAGCGAACTTAATATAAAGGATTTAAAAAAGGCTCACGTGCGGGAGCTTGATGGAATCTTGCATCGCAGCACCACGAGGGATGATAACTGTTTGGCGATGCATGTATACAGCAGTGGATAATGCATGGCTGATGATGACAATTCAATAGTAACGTATTTGTCTCCTATTATGTTGTCCATTTTACAACAATAATAACTGTAGAAACTAATTTTATCGAATTTAAATTGTCCTCCGTGGAACTTTCAATGAAAAGTTACCAATGCAGCTGCTTGGTTTGTATCATTTGTTTAGTGTTGTCCTGATATTGAAAATATTTTCTTTTTACTGCACTGCATCATGCAAAAGCTGAAATGTGCAGCGTATTTTTATTTATTCCATTTTGTAAAGAGCCTTAAACGTAAAGCACGAAATTTAGATGTTGCTGTATATAAACACTTATACCACAGATATCTTATGCCTCCTAAATCCGAGGAAAGAAGTATTAACCTGTAACGATCCTCACAGTACATTAATTGTACCACAATTTATAGACACCAGATGGGACGGTATTAAAACAATTGAGCAACTGAATATGACCGCTTTAAATTGGCCTTTGGGGCAGTTATCATTGGTATAATGAGCAACATTAATCCTCGCCAGCAATAAACTGGACACAGTTTATACGAAACTTTCTTCAAAAAACACTTAATTCCTGCTGGAAACAATAAGTATAATCATTATTTATGTTTCACACAGTGCCCTTTACGCTGGGGCGTCTCAAATTACTCCGCGCACAATAATTGGCTTGCATCATCACATCTCATCTCACACAACACCCAGTGACAGCTGCCCCCCCCCCCCCACGTGAGCACAAGGTGACTCAGCACCTGGCCCACGTACAGTTATTAGTCAACCAGTAGAGGGTGATAACTGTGTATGTGTAAGGCCAATTGAGTGATTTGAGAGGGATTTTTTTTGAACGTGCCAAATTTCGACCGTGACACCAGCACACAATGCCCTACGTGTTATGAATAACATCAGGGGATCTTTAACGTCCGCTGTGCTAGCAGATGGCGCGTTTTTAATCGTTGATACGTCAGCTGTATTAACCAGGGTGGCTGCTGTGCTCAACCACGAACTTCTATGATAAGTGGTAAACGCGCTACTGCTGGCTCATGTCACCACCCCAAAGTGCATAGAGGCCCCACTACACTTATGTGCAATTTTGACAAAGTAATGCAGTTATGCTATCAAAAAGTTAAATTTATGTAGGTCTGAATTTAAGTGTGACAGGATATTTTGTCTAATTCATGTTTATCTTTCATACGCATGTGAACTTTGTTGCCAGCCTCATTTACAGAATAAAGGTCTATTCACATTTCAGAACCACATGTCCCAAATCACAGCATCCCGGGAACAAGACACAACATGCTTCTCTGAGTATCTCATACGAGTTAGTCATTTAACCTGTTTATGAGCTGTGGATGTGAATGTGTGTGTGTGTCACTTGAATATCTTAAAATGTAGCTAATCCCTCGCAGCTGGCTATAACCTCATCAAGCGCAAATACCAAATTAGGATGGGATTTTTGTGCAACTATCCATGACTGGGCCGAGACCATGAAACCAACTGCGCATGATGACCTTTTTGACCTTTTCAGGGCATGGGCGAAGGTTGAGGAGAGGAGAGGCTCGTTTTCGGATTGTGATTGCACACCAGCCATACTTACATTAATGTCAGAGTCACACTGCACGCCTGCCCATCCAGGTTCGCACACGCATGTGAAATGTCCCAATGCATCGACGCACCTGCAGCGGGGAAAACGTTGTTCAATGAATATACATTCTCGAAATTAAATTCATTCTCGTTTTAAATCGAAGGCTAAGCAGAGCTCAGTGACTGGGTGAACGATCGTGGAAGGTGATCAATGCTTGTCTGGACTGTCAAACACTTGCGGTAAGGTTGTGTGGACACTTCAACCTCCTCAAAGCTGTCTGGCAAGTCTAGAAAATCAGTCCACCTTCCTTTGCCTCTGTCTACAGCAATACAAGGGTGCTTCAATAAGGTAACAGGCAAAGGTTTGATCTTAGAGAAGAGTTGTGGGCATTCACATGAAAGATTAATTCTCCACAGTCAAATTATACAAAAGTACAATTGTCCAAATGGCCCACAATTTTCCTAATGTCAGCAGAAAATACATCGTTTGGATGATCTGCAAGCCACAAGAAGTACCACTACTTCTCAAGATGAGCGACCTTGGCTAGAGTTGAAACATCAACTGCCCTCCTGTTTCTGTCATTATCAAATATATATGCTCTCGTCCTGATTGGTGTTCTGCCTATTTGTAAATATTTAAACGATTTTGTACAATTGTGACCCATGTTACAGCTGAATTCTTGGACAAATTCCACGAGTCTTTACACCGTCAGAGAATAACAACAAAAAACAACGAATAGCAACTTGCCGCTCTTCTAATCTGCAGTTGTACAAAGGCACCACGATTTTAACTACGTGATATTCTTCTGCCACCTAGAGGCAAAATCTGGAGAAAAATATATTGCACATGATTATCAGGGTAATACCTATTCACTGCACATGCATTATATATATTTTCAGATGAAACAGACAAAGTTTACAGGATTATTCAGAATCTATTTTTTTAAACGCCTCGTACTAGCACGCTCAACAAGTTTAGGCTTAACAACTTCCCCTTATCTTCTGCCCAAGATGACATGTTTCCATACGTCCAAATTTTTTATCAGTACAGCAATCATCTTCCCAGCACCCTGTTCTCTAACGTGCACCTTCTCCTTAAAAATATGGTTTATCTTTCTCCATGATCTCATAACATGCATGTCTTGTTTTACAGACAGCATCTTGAGATCCGGTTACGTTTGAGGCTTTATATAACCACGTCTTTTGCACAGCAGCGTAGATGTTGAATCTATGTTTAGCAGATCAGTCGACTCACAGGTAGATGGTTGTGAGTTCAAACCTGAGTCAGGGGTCAACTCTGCCCATCATCCACACAAAGTTGACGTAATGATTGACACGTGGTATAAAGTCCACAGTGGTTGTCCTATGGATATATTAGACTGGTCCTTTCCATGGAAATGTGGAATATCCACCATGGTTCAGAGCCACCAATGCAGCAATACCGCTATTGCACGTTTGAACTTGGAGACACTTGAGACTTTGAGCGAGTTCACACTTATTGTATTGCGGTTAAGGCGCACCTCATGTTGGTTGTGCATACAGTTATACAAACCCGGCTATCCGAGCTGAATTCTGCAACATTATTGGTGAGTGATATCTGGCCGGTCCTGCCTACATACCCGCTCCCCCTAACAACACCTCGAACACGGTTTTAGGAGGCCTTCATCCAGTGCAGGAATGACGGACGCAAATTAAACCGAGGTGCAAATAATGTGTCTGAGCATTTGTATGTAACCTGTTGAACATTTCTTGATCTTAATTGCAGCTTTGTTTCCTATTTTTGGCTGCCTCTGAGTGATAACGCTCTATTTTTGTGATTCCCGAATAAACGCCGCTCAAGTTTGTACTGTGAGCCACAGGGCTGGTTGCCAAAGGACAAAAAAAGAGAGACAGAAATAAAAGAGTATCCCTCCTCGCCGAGGTTTATGGCGCATTGCGAGCTCGATGGGCACAGCGTGGTCACAAACGACCGTCTCCAGCAGGGTTCTGCAGTGGCCAGCGCCGTGGAGTGCCGAGGGAAGACTCCTCAAGGGGAGAATCAATTTGCAAGGACAGCAGTCGGCACTCTTTTGAGGCAGAGCCAAGGATGGCAGCTCACTGTGCCACCCCATGTCACCTCGCAGAATGAAACCACTTTGGGATAACCGCCATTTCTCACTCCAGCCCAAGACCTGAGTTGTACCACAAATGTAAATCTGGCTGCTTTGTGCCATCTCATTTGTATTGCTTGCCCTATCATCTGTGCGCAGTTAAGTTAACTCCATTAGCCTAAATGTAACATGAGTATTGTTTGAAACAATGGAACCTCGTGTGCACAATTTGATGGATAAATTTAGAGCGTAAGATTGAATCGTTATGTGCCTTACTGCTGCCATCTTGGTTCCTCGATGTTTTGTTATATTTCTGTTCTTGAGATATATATATATTTTTATTATTGAACACATTCTCTTGGCAAAACAACATTATTGAAAATTTGACGTGCCTAATTTTAATGTCATCCTGCCAGAAAAGATACATGCCTCAACGATCAACACAGTTTAATGGCAGCATACATCAAACGGTGATAAAGGATCAACTTCTACCCTTGCTTTGGGAGTCCCAATGCCACAGCGCAGGGGGGACGCGACGCTTCATCATCTCGGCTTGAAATATAGGAGCCCATCCAAGAGACGGGGGGGGGGGACATGGCGGGACAGGGGGGGGGGGGGACAGGGGGGAGGGAGAGCGCAACTCACCGGCCGTTCCGGCACGGCGCAGAGGCACACTTGTCCACGTAGATGTCGCAGCGAGCGCCCGTGTAGCCGGGGAGGCACTCGCACGAGTAGCCGCCGCTCGGCCGGTTGGCGCACGCCGCTTGGTGCAGGCACGGGGCGGACGCGCACTCGTCCACGTACTCGTCGCACAGCGCCCCTGAGGAGTGAGCGTGAAAGCAGCAGCGGCAGCAGAAGTGCCAGCGGCATGGCAGAAGTGCTTGGTGACTTTGGGTGACATCCCCCGCCGCCCCCCCCCCCCCGACTCTTCTATTTCCTTTAAAATTCGGTATTCAAAATACACCTGTGCGATCATAAAATATTTATTATGACCTTTTGTCAAATAAAATATTTGTTTATTCCACATCCTCCCTCACATCATACATTGCAACATCCTGACATTCCGGCCGGTATTGCCATGGGCATTGATGGTATCAAGGGGGGGTTGGTCAGGTCATTTCCGTTCTGGGTTTAGATTTTTAAGACTGGTCTAAGGTTTAGGAATGGACCCCAGACGTTCGTGTGGTGACTCACAATTTTCAAATAAGTACCACTTCATGGGAGAGCAACAGCAAGAGTGCTATTGATGAACTGACTCCTGCTGCCATTGTATTGTGGAAAAGAACGCGGGACGTTGTGTACACACAGGACCGCACGTGCTACTCGACATGCAGCTGTCTCGTGCGATGCATTGTGGGTTGGGTGACTGTGTGATCAATGCTAGTCGATTTCACTTTGTGCACCTTTATTTTGGAGCGTATCGAAGGGAAACCTGTATTCGAAGTGTCTTAAAAACAAAGACTCCCAGGATGTGTGCATTATTTTTACTTTGTGAAACTTTTACATTCACAATAATCCATGGCAGTTGACATGCCAGTTTTGCAGAACAATTAAAGCTTAAGTGAGTCATAGACTCTTGCAATTTTGCTGCTATTATTTCGAAAAGTATATTTTTGGGCAGTTTCACATTAAGTTAGAGTACTTTTTTGGCATAAACTACATCTGTTAGTGCAACAAAAGCACTCACGTAGAACAAAATAGCAAATGCTTTGCACACACATAAACATACCATGTGCTTTTGTGTATGCATAGTTGAGTTCCTAACACTGAACAATAGTGGCCAGAAAATTAGCAGCCTTTTCCTTCGCTCACTGAGCAAGACTGTAATGAAATGATTGAATGTAAAGATGTGTGGAGACAAGGCCAGTGGTGGCTGGTAAAAAAAAGAATAATGAAAAATTCGATTCAACATGCTTTTCCTATGGTTTCTGATTCCATTCATGAGAAAAAAAAGTAACCTTGGAAAACATTTACATAATGGGACCTCCTTTGCTAGTACCAAAATATAAGAATAGGTTTTTTCCCCTTTTTACTGGCAACAAAACTGAAACCTTTTTACAAGGAATCATGTGTGCATTAACCACAATTATTGTGGTCAGAATGCAAACTTAAAACATGCTCTGATATATATGCATTGTCCTTGAAACTGATTGGTTTGAGCCTCGTCTCAAACTGTGTTAGACCGGAGGACGCCAAAAGGCATTCTCTGGTCTAACGCCTTTTGGCATCCTATGGTCTAGCACCAATTGAGACGAGGCTCAAAAGAAATCTGTCTCTGGTGTGGACCAATCAGTTTCAAGGACAATGCAATATATTATCAGAGCATGTTTTTTTGTGTCGTGAGTCCAACTGAGTCGCAGAGGTTGTTCCTTTTAGAGGCAACACATTTATTTGTAACACGTACACAAAGGGGTAACTGCCCCTTCACCAGATACAGCCTAGGGTTGTGGCCACCCAGCTAACTACCCTATACAGAGGAGTTACTGCTACGAAGGGTCGGGCCCTTACTCGGGTCCGCGACCACGTGTTGGTGTCTCGTAGGACTAAGAGCTTCCAGCTTGAGACGTAGAACTTCCAGCTTATAGAACGCAGCGACCCCATCCCCTCTCAGGGACCCGCCTTATATCCCCCCCCACGAGTCGGGACCGTCCACCCCTGGCCCCGCCCGCCTTTTGAAGCCTTCTAGATCCTCCTCGATCCCTCTCGAGAGCTCTCCATGGACATGTGTTCACCCCCTAGTACCCCCATCTGGGGGCTTCTCTGTGGACACTCCGGATCACATGTTTGCAGGGTCAACCAAAGTGCCATGGCCCGAGGCAACCTTGTCCTTGGGCTGACACTCTCCCGCTCCCCCTTGTGGTAGCCCCCACCACACGCTATGCGTGGGGCCCGCACTATCCCAGCGCTCACCAAGCCCCGCAAGGGCTGGTACTACACCCACCACGGGGTGTACGCGATGACAATGCATCGCACGCCACGGTCCTTCGGGGCCGGCACCATACAGTGACATCCCCGATGTCACTAGATCAGCATTCTGAGCACAAGTATTGTGGTTAATGCAGATATGATTCCTCGTACAGAGGTTTCAGTTTTGTTGCCAGAAAAATGGGAAAATCTATTCTTATACTTGGAAAACATTCTTGAAATAAAGCCACCCTCAATCAAGACTCCACAAACAAACATGCTCGACTACAGTACGCGCGATCGTTATCAACAAAGCACAATTTTCACCTCAAACACCCTCACCTCTTCACACCTGCCAACACCAAACAATACAATAAACAACCTTTCTGTAAACTATAATTTGTGCCACTGTTCTTAATTTTGTATGGCTGCTGTTGATGTGTAGCTATAATTTCACACCAAAGTGGTTGAGCCAGATGGTTGCGTCAGGAGTAACGGAATGGAGCATCGCTCTGCTGATGCCTCCTTCATCTATGTGTCGTGGCATCGTGGGATGCCACTACATGATGCGTGAGCCGGGCTGTGTGTATCAAGGATGGATGGCATTGCACTTCACGTGAAATGCCATCCATTGCACGAGAGTGCCAGGTATGGTGGAAAGGTTCACAGGGGGCCGTGGCACTCTGTATGAACGAAGAGGCCTGATGACCGGTGGCACCACCCCGGGGGCCGCCGGGACCAGGACCAGGTCCCTCTCGAAGGCTCGAGAAGAGAGGCGCGGCTAGGGGCAGAGTAAGCCCCGGGACTGACTATATAAGCCGGACCCCTGAATGGGTCCGGCTGCTGTTGTACACCTGAACACCTGAAGCCGTCACCCTGAAGAGAAGCCCTGAAGACAAGGCCCGGACCCTAGTCAGGGTCCGGTCTCTGATAGCCTCCCGAGTTGTGTTCGGGCTCGTTAGCCCGGATGGACTACCGCCTTAGGTTACCTGGTGGAAGGGGCAGATGCTCCTTTGTGTTAGGGCTTTTGTTATTGTTATAATAAACGTGTTGCCTCCAGAGAAGTCTCTCTCTCCATTTGTACCCACTACACTTCGCCGAAGATTGACCTACCATGTCACTTACGCGCTCTAAAATCTGCAATGGCCCAGTAGAGGCTTAGTGCCATTTTCCCGTACAATGGAAGATTTTATACGATTTGTTTTATAATTATCTAAAATGGAAGACCAATTAAGCTGCACTATCTATTTTCCGAAAGTGTGGTTGATCATTAAAACAATTATTATTAGCCAATTTATTGCAGGCCATGAAAAAAATATCAGAATCTGGCTGCCACATGCACAAATCAGCTTACTCTTGGGAACAATGCCACTGGATATTTAATGTCCATTTTATAGCTAACAGCTGCAGGAGCAGAAGCTGTAGATGTCTACAAACGATTGAGTACTAAAAAACCTAATCACATGAGTTTTTAGTCCAAGAGGTGGACAGATGACTCAGGATCAAAGCAATGAGCCAGCACTTCTGAGATCTCGGGTTTGAATCATCCGTCCAGCCACCTGCGATTAAACCATTTTCTCAAGCATAGCGAGTTGATGATCTCATTCTGATTATTAGCGACTGCAACCCCCACCCCCCATTCATATTTAAAATATAATTCAGCTTGACATCTCTAGAGAAGGAAAAATGCAAGGATAAGAGGTCACTTGCGTGGATATCGAAGAATGTTTCATTTTACATTTTTCCGCGGGGTGTTCTCGACAGCGGGTTGGTGCACCGCTCTGAGTGTTCTGAATGAACCCTTTAACTCGTGACACGACACCGACAGCACATTTGGAATAACAATTTGTGGGGCGAGGGGGGCAGAATAAATTAAAAGAACGCTCATCTACCGCTCCCTCCTGCGAAGGTTTCTTGGCTTGGTTGGGAAGTTGGGATTGTGTGGTCTGGTATGTGACCTAATGGACTCATCTCTTTTTTTTTCAATTTAAAGCTTTCGTGACTGCAGGGATTCATCTTCTTGGTTCTTTCAGTAAAGTCACGTAGAAGGGAAGTAATAAAATAATAAAAATAAAACATAAAATAATTCTCACGACGTTTCGGCCACAACGCAAGCAGCCGTCCTCAGGTGAGTTAGTTGTTATTTTAGAAGATTTCTTCACCTGAGGACGGCTGCTTGCGTTGTGGCTGAAACGTCGTGAGAATTATTTTATTATGTTTTATTTGTATTATTTTATTACTTCCCTTCTACGTGACTTTACCGAAAGAACCAAGAAGATGACTCATTTCTTAATTTCTTTATTGCTTAATTTATGTTTTTATTTTATATGTGCTTGGTAGTAGGGGTTTCATTGCTTTGTATGTAAGCGTGTGCGTGTGTGTGTGTGTGCTGGGCTTCTTTTGCACGGTACTAACCTCTGATTAGCACAGTTGGCTATGTGGGGTGCGAAAGAAGTTTAATATATATAAATACATACATAGCCAACCGCATATATGGGATTTTCTGCTTATATATATAATTAATGTACAACGTTGTGGGATGCTGTTGGCATGAATGACGCTACATAAAATGAAAGTATTATTGTTAAATATGCAAATACTAAACAGTATCATGAATAATAAAATAATAACTGACCAACTGGCACTGTGGGGAAAAACCCCTTATTCACAATCTAAAGGTTAATAGCTCAAGTTATCGCTGAGGGTTGGCTCACCCAATCATGTACCCAAGGTTGTTAACATTAATAACTTGATCAAGAGTCAACACTGGCTCATCCTACCAAGACATTGGAATAGAGTGTTGAATTTCCACTTCTGGCTCAGAAGAGATAATAACAGATGATCACCATCCAACACGCTTTTAAATTTGGAGCCCACTTTGATCTAGAATTTTAGCAATACCGTCCAAGGCACATC